TGGGGGCTATATGAAGGCGTGGACCGGCACATGTAGTTTTCTGTCTTAGGCTGTAGTATTCATTACGAACTTCAAATACTAAATTTGAAACAGTTCCGGTGAATAATGTCGCTAAAATCATCAAAATACCGAATATGGGGAGGTATCGTTATATGGGGGCTATATGAAGACCTGGACCAGCATAGACAATTTTCTGTCTCAGGCTGTAGTATCCATTACGAATTTCAAATACCAAATTTGAAACAATTCCGGTGAATAATGTCACTTAAATCATCAAAATACCGATTATAATGAGGTGACGTCATATGGAGGCTATACGAAAACGTGGACCTACATGACCCATTTTCAATAGCAAAAGTCCGGCAGACATGAGATACATTTCAGTACAATTTTATCAACCTACTTCATTTTGTTCGGAAGCTAGAGTGATTTCCACAGGCGGATTGGCGGACATACGGACGGACATCGCTAAATCGACATAGAATTTGATGCTGATCAAGAATATTTATACTTTGTGGGGTCTAAATTACGAGGTGTTACAAACGGAATGACAAACTAAATATACCCTTCATACTATGGTGGAGGTTATAAAAACGTGTTTTAACCCTTTGAATTCCTATCAAGACGAATTAAACTCTTAAGAGTCTCATATACCAATTTATACCAGTTGGGCGTCACTTTTGTGCGACTCCATGTCGGGCGCCATGTTCGTAAAACGTTTTCGTTAACTTTTGTGACTTTCCTGACTCTTTGCAGTCCCATAAAGCAATCGAAGAACTATTTTATGTTGGGCGCCATTTTCGTCTGATATTTTTTAAAATCTACTTTAGATTTAAAATGGAGAAAGATGACCTCCATTTTCGCAAAAAATTTCTGCGAAGTTTTTTCGATAAAATGTCTGTCTTAAAAATTTGACCCCATGACTTGGGAGCCTAAAGGGGCTATCAATGAACGACTTCATGTTGGGCGCCATTTTCGTTTTATATTTTTTTTAGGGTCTACTTTGGATTAAAAATGGAAAAAGGTAACCTACAAGAGGTCTTTTATTGGCCGAAACTTGATTTAAATGTCGTATTACAGGAGAAAAGCTCTTGAGAACCCAATAAAACTATTGACGTACGACTTCATGTTGGGCGCCATTTCCTTTTTTGCGACCTTCCATAGATGGAAAATTTGTCTTGAGTTGTTGACTCCCTAACAGAATGAATTAAACTCTTCAAACCCTATTAATGGCACATCTTTGCATGACAATTTTCACTTAAACAGTTGACTCCCCAACAGGACGAAAAAAGCTCAAGCTTAGGAACTAATTTATAACTTTTTCTAGGATTTCATGTCGGGCGACATTTTTGCGACCATCTGTTTAAGCAATCTTATCTCTAGACAATCTTTTAAAGCAATCGGCGAACGTTTTCATGTTGGGCGCCATTTTCGTAAAATATTTAAGGATCTGCTTTGAATTGGGAATGGAAATAAAAACAAATATTTTCTTAATATAGAAGAGCACTTTCGAGTCTCAAAGGGCAATGGTTGTATGACTTTATATTGGGCGCCATTTTCAAAAAACATTTTTTTGGCTCTGTTTTGCATGAAATATCTTTTTGCACCTTTGACTCCCCAAACATGACAAATAAAATATGAAAATAAATGATCACCATTAAATGACAAACACCTCAGGTAACCTCCATTTCAAAGTCCATGGAGAAAACATGTTGCCAAAAAACAAGAGGGGAGGTTACCGCTTTTGCATTGCCACACTTGACCAAGCAAGCCATTGACCTCCAAATGACCGGACCGCTTCATGGATTATTTGCCAATTCCATTTACTGAATGAACTCACACGCATAGACAATGAAAAAAATAATTTCGTTTACATCTTTGCAAAGCAAATGTTTGCAATGAAATCATTTGTTTGCCCACTCTCTCCAGGGGGTATGGAGGCAATGGAGTGGAGAGATACAACAACGGGTGCCCAATGTCTAGCTAGCTAGCTAAGACGCACACATTCCTACACAACTTAGCTTCAATGCAAACAAACAAAACAGAAATGAATTAAAGTTTTGAAAATAGAAATTGTTTTCCAGATGCAAAAATTTCATGATGTTTACGCACACGTACACACACACACACATAGACGGCACACATGTTTGGTTTTATATGCCACACTGAAGACATATGGATGCAATCAAAGTTTTGCTATTATTTTCTTGTTGCCGGTGTTGTTTTTGTCTTAAATCCATGTCTAAAATTTATGGAAGATTTATATTCGCATTGGTATCGCCAGAAATTGAAAAACCATAAAAGAGTGAAAACTTTTCACAGACACACACGTACTCACATATGTACGATTTTCACGGCTAACAAATCATAGGAAAAATAGATTTTTTTGCAAATTGTAAAATAGGTTTTCATGCATGGATTGCATTTCACGTTATAGGTAGGCGTTTGGTGGTGCAAAGGGGGGAGGTATGGTAAGTATGAGAAAATATAAAAAATAATGCAGAGCAAGGAAAAAAGCCGTAAGTTCGGCCAGGCCGGACTTTGAATACCCTCCGCCATTTGGAGAGAATTTGGAAATTTTAAAAAAAATAAAAATCCCTTTGAAATTTCGTTAAAATCTTAAAAATACCGAATATATAGCAGTAATATTGGGGTCTATACGAAGAAGTAAACCTGCATAGGGAACTTTTCTCAAAAGCCATTACAATATTCAAATGCGAAACTTGAAAAAAAAATCCGGTGAATAATGTAGCTAAAATCGTCAAAATACCGAATATAGGGCATATGGGGCCTATACGAAGGCCTGGACCGGCATAGACAATTTTCTGTCACAGGATATATCACCTATTACGAACTTCAAATACCAAATTTGAAACAATTGCGGTGAATAATGTCACTAAAATCATCAAAATACCGAATATCGGGAGGTACTGATATATGGGTCCTATACGAAGACCTGGACCTGCCCAGACAATTTTCAGTCGCAGGCTGTAGCACCTTTTAGGGACTTCAAATACAAAATTTCAAATAATTCCGGTGAATGATGTCGCTAAAATCATCAAAATACCGAATATCGGGAGTTATCGTTATATGGGGGCTATACCAAAACGTGGACCTGCACAGAAAATTTTCTGTCTCAGGCTCTAGTATCCATTACGAACTTCATATACCAAATTTGAAACATTTGCGGTAAATAATATCGCTAAAATCATTAAAATACCGAATATCGGGAGGTATCGTTGTATGGGCGCTCTAGGAAGACGTGGACCTGCATGGACAATTTTCTGTCATAGGCTGTAGCATTCATTACGAACTTCAAATACCAAATTTGAAACAATTCTGGTGATTAATGTCGCTAAAATTATCCAAATACCGAATATCGGGAGGTATCGTTATATGGGGCCTATACGAAGAACTGGACCTGCATGGACAATTTTCTATCATAGGCTGTAGCATACATTACGAACTTCAAATACCAAATTTGAAACAATTCCGGTGATTAATGTCGCTAAAATTATCCAAATACCGAATATCGGGAGGTATCGTTATATGGGGCCTTTACGAAGACCTGGACCTGCATGGACAATTTTCTGTCATAGGCTGTAGCACCTTTTATGAACTTCAAATACTAAATTTCAAACAATTCCGGTGAATAATGTCGCTAATATCGTCAAAATACCGAATATCGGGAGGTATCGTTATATGGCGGCTATACGAAGACGTGGACTTGCGCGGACAATTTTCCGTCATAGGCTGTAGTATCCATTACGAATTTCAAATACAAAATTTGAAACATTTGCGGTGAATAATGTCGCTAAAATCATCAAAGTACCGATTATTGGGAGGTGCCGTTATATGGGGCCCATACCAAAACGTGTACCTACATGGCCCATTTGCAATACTAAAAGTCTTGCAGACATAATATACATTTGAGTAAAGTTTTATGAACCTGCTTCATTTCGTTCGGAAGCTAGAGTGATTTTTATAGACGGACGGACATCGCTAAATCGTCATTTTAAGTTTCGCATTTAAATATTGTGATGGCTTATAACAAAGGTTACCTATTCAGGTCCATGTCATCGCATATACACTAAATAATAGCTACATTCGGTATTTTTAAGATTTTGACAGAATTTTTAACGGATTTTATTGTTTTTGAGAACTGTCAAATTCGTTCCAAATGGTGGAGGGTATTCAAAGTTCGGTCTGGCCGAACTTACAGCTTTTTTACTTGTTTAGACTGAAGTCGTAAAAGATTTTTTTTTTGAGGAATCGCAATGGAGAACATTGTAGGGTTGCTCTATCCCTATATTCAAGTGGTCTTGGCTACCTGCTGAGCGCAATTGTTATTATCACATCTAATCAAAGATCATTCGATTTGAAGCTTATTTGAAGTATTTGAACGAAATCTTGATGTTTGTGCATTTTTAAGATGTTTTACACCAAGGTTATATTAGTTAGAAAAAAGTTTAGTTAGGGAATTCTGTACCCCTGACATAGTCTCGCATCTAATAAATTTCGTTCTGCCTTATTTGACGAAGATTCGCGGTAGTATCATTCCGCAAATTGTGGGATCTTAGATTTCATTTCCTTGTTTTTTTCCATACGGCCTGCAGAATCTGTACATTGCCATATCTTCCTATCCCGTTTCAAAGGGATATTCGAGCATTACTTTTACCTCTCGACACACTTTATAGCGAAAGTTGATATGATTTTTTATTTATTGGAAACACAAATAACCTTCATGTTCTTCCTTTACAAAGCCTTAACTTCCATTGACTCATCGCTTCTTGAATTCCCTACAACTCTCCCTCGTAATCCGTTTAGTTTTCCCATTTACAACGACCGCCTTCAAGGCAAAGATGTAGTTGGTATTGGTTAACTGGTAATAAATAATGGTTAGAAATCAGAAAAGCTATGTAATTTGAGTAAAGAGGAAATGGAACATACGTCTATGAAAAAAATGCAAAGGAAAACTAAAAAAAAGACAATGTATTTACCGGTTTCTGTGAGCCATATTTTTCACCGTTGGCTGCCTTCTCCAGGAGATGTGAACTTTCTTCGGTGGCCAAAGAGGCAGCACCGTTGTGTTTTAGATTTGCTTCTGATGAGGTTGATGACATATTTTTGCCAATATATTTGAGTATTAAAGGGGAGATTTGAACGTTTGGGTTTTAATAAATTACTGAGATTACTTGTTCGCGTTTTGCGTTTTTTTTTTTTTTTGGTTTGTATAAAATACAAATACACTAATTTTGGATATGTTTTGAGGTTAAGTTTTGGATCCTTTAATAGTCCTTTGTTGTGTGATTACAAAACACAAATAATTTGCTTCTTCTTCTTCTTCTAGCTGCTGAAGGTTGTTTTTTGGGTTGTCTTTTATTTTCTACGTTCCTTGTTTTTGGACACCCACACTTCTTTTGTGTTCCCGCTCTCTTTGGCTAGGTTACTTCAATATGTATTGGACTTGTTTAGATGCGCCTGCGCTTAGCCAAAGGTTACAAGTCGTGTGTGCAATACAATTTTTGACACACATACACACAAATAATTTTGGTTACTTAGGTAGAGTTCAATGATGGGAAAACCACTTCTTAATGTTTCCCTTATCTTAAAAAAAAACTAGGTAATACTGTTGTTGTTGCTGCTGCTTTTCTTCTTTCCAAATTTATTACAGGAAAGTATTATTGGGAGTATTTGTGTTGTATATATTCGAGTTTGATTTATTTGTTGTTTTCTTCTTTTAAATGTAGTGAGTATTAATTGCCGTTTAACACAAAACAATTGTTACGTTTTCTTTGATTATTTCTTCTTAAAATTTGTTTCTATAACCGTTGTCTTATTTGAATATTTTAACATGTTATTTTTTGTTTGTCTTTGATTGCCGTAGTTTGAGTTTATCTTCCGGTTGTTGTTACTTAACACCGCCACGACTTAATTGTAAATGATGTCGTTCCATGCCTTACGCGCCAAATAAAAACATATTTTTACTCAGTTTCCTTAGCATTAACAGAGCTAACTAATGGCAATGCATTGTCCTCTCCAGTTCTCTATTTCTCTCACTCAGTCTCTCTCTCCCCCAAAAACACATTATCTATACCCAGCTCTAGAGGCCGACTTGTTTTGTGTACTCTGTAATCATTTTTTTTGTTTCCATTTCATGGAGCTCTCAACTCTCTTTCGTCCAAATACACTTTGGCCTCTTGGGCTCTCTCCCCACAAACTCACCTAAATACGTTCAGTGTTTATGAATCAACAATGAAATTCCCTTGTAAAGCAAAAGGGGTGTGTATATTTCAACGTCTCCATAGAAAGTTTCATCATTGTGTGTTACGTGTTAGTGTTGTTTTTGGCCGTATGACGGGCATAGCAAAGAAGGCAAAAGCACAACAAAACTATGCAAGGCACACAGACCCCCAAAAGTCAATATAGAATTGTTTTTGTTAAAATGCAATGCATTGTAGTGAAGGTTTGCCCGTATTCACCTTAATTTACATAGAGAAATAGAGAGAGAGAGGAATCGTATTTACATTATTGGGTTTTCTCTTGTCATCACCTCCATAACAAATCCCAAAGCAAATCATTAACAATTCTGAAAAATACCAGTCATGAACAAAAAACAACAACAACAAACAATAAACTGAAAATACAGACAACCAAATGCTGGTCTTAATTCTCTACCCTGTGATTTCCGTTTCTTTGAAAAAGGTGGTTTCCGCTCTCACCCACGTTTTCGGTATATTTTCTACATATTGTAATAGGACAATGTAAAAAAGACTCTCTTCCATTTCTCTTTCTTTTTGTAGGGAGTTTATTACAACTGGCATACACCGGCATAAACTGAGAATGTTTGCTAGGAAAATTCGTGTGTATATGTTGAAGTTTTGACGTCACACATAATATTTACATTATACTACCAGTGATGCGTGCGTACACAGAAGCAACAGTGGGTTAAAATGTAAAAAACAAGTATCTTTCAGGTTTACCGACAGATGTTATCCCCAGGCTTGTGTTGTGATTATTCAAACTGAGAGAAAAACATTAAAACGTGTCAGATTTAGACTATGTGGACTACTTCCTATACTTTATATGAGATATGTGCAAATTTTTGGAAAATTTTGAAATATGTGTGAGATAACAGACTTAGCGGACCGACGTATTCAATTTTCATACTCCATCTAATACAGATAAAAATATTGGCTTGTGCAAAATTTGGAGGAAATCGAACATTTTTTTCCAAGCTTATGCGAAATCATAAATTTCGATAAATTGCATTTTCAGATCAGATTTCTGGCTAAGAGAAATATTTAGATATAGCAAGTTGTAAAGAATCGCCGACTTGTTTCGCAAGTTATGACAGATATATAATATGACAGGTTTGCTAGATATCAATAATCTTCACTACAGATCTGCTGTTAGCAAAAATATTTGGAGAGAAAATTGGAGATTTGAAGAGAGTTGGATGCTTCTTTCGCTTTCTTTGAGCGTTTTGTTTTTTAAAATCTTGAGCCCTATGTGGGGGAGGTACCAGAAGGAATGGTCCGATCTCTACCATCTATATAACAGATCTTGTGTTAATGGAAATATTGAGATGTACCAAGTCCGAATTAAATCGGATGTTAATTTCCCGTTTTATGAGATTCATTGCTAATCAAAATTTTGACCCTTTGTGGGGACGGTTCCAGAAGGGGTGGACCGATATATTCCAACTTCACACCACACCTTGGGTTATTACAAATATTGTCATGTGTGTAATTTGAAGAGAATCGGATGCTTATTTCGGGTTTTATGATCGTTTATGTTTTTCAAAATTTCTACCCTTTGTGGGGAAGGTACCAGAAGGAATTATCCGATCTGTACCATCTTTATAGCAGATTGTGTGTTAATGAAAATGTTGAGATGTACCAAGTCTGAATTGAATCGGGTGTAAATTCCGTATTTTATGAGCTTTATGAATATTCAAAATTTTTACCCTTTGTGGAGTAGGTACCATAAGGAGTGGACCGATATTGCCCATTGTTGTAGTATTCATACTTTTCAATTCAAATACTTTGTTGAAATGTTTTTGTGTGCTTTTCTTGTCATTCGGTTTTGAGTTTTATTTTACATTGTTTCCTGAATTTTTCTAATAAACCTTTTTATAAAATCTTATATATTACGGATTTTCAATTTAAGAGCTTGTGGACTCACGGTGGATTCTTACTGCGTGAGATAAATACACAGAAATAAGGAATTAATCTAACAAAGGTTATGGGCCCAGATTTCCGAAGTTCTTAAATATAATTTTGCAAATTGGACATCTGGGAATAAGGGAAGTAAAATGGCTAATTCTGTGGCTAGCATAGAGAAACTAAACAGCGAAAATTATGGAACGTGGTGTATCCAGGTAAAGAGCTTGCTAATAACGTTGGATCTATGGAATACTATTGAGATTGAATGTCCTATTGGTGCTGCTGAAAAAACAATTTGGATGAATAATGATAGAAAAGCTTTAGCAACGATAACCCTTTCTGTGAAAGCGAGCGAATTAATACACATCAAGAATTGTGCGACAGCTAAGGAAGCATGGGATGTACTTAGTTCATTATACAAGGCTGACACGGCATCCAGAAAGGTGAAGTTATTCAAGAAGTTGGTTCGGTTCAAGTTCAGACATGCTGAGAAATTTTCAGTGCAAATAAATGAATTTTGTTGCACGATTGATGAACTAAAGGAAATTGGAATAAGTTTGAATGATGATTTATTGACCATTTTATTGCTCTGTAGTCTTCCTGATGAAATGGAAGGTTTTGTTATAGCTATTGAGAGCAGAGACAAATTACCCACCTACGATAAATTAATTTCCAAGATTTTGGAGGAAGAAACCCGACAAGGCGACAAGACTGTGGATAATGGCGAGACTGCGTTTGCCGCAAACTCCAAGAGCGGTAACAAAAGTCATAATAAAGATCAAATTTATGGGCATAATCTGAAAAATGGAATGCATTCGCAACAATCAAAAACCAATTTCAATAATAAGAAATCGCCTACATCAAATATGAAATGTTTTCGTTGTGGTAAGATAGGACACATCCGATCTCAATGTAAAAATGGTGATAGTGAGAAGAGAAGAAGAGATTATGCGTGTTCCTTATATGATAATAGACCGAAAATTGCAACATCATGGATTATGGATAGTGGGGCGACATCACATATGTGCAGGAACAAACTGTTTTTTCAATCATTGACAGAATCAAGACAGCAAATTATATTGGCATCTGGGGAAAGTATTTTTGCTGAAGGAATTGGTGATATCAAATTGCAGACTTCTACTACAACTCTGACATTGCGAAACGTATGGTATGTACCCCAACTTCATTCAAATTTCTTATCAATCTCAAAGATAATCAAAGCCGGGCATTCCGTGGTATTTCACGATAATGGAGCAGTAATGAAAAGTACCCATGGCGTTAATATATTGATGGCTGAATTGGTGGATGAGATGTTTATTGCAAAGGTTAGAATGGAAAATGAAGTTCAGTCTTTGAATGTTGCTGTTGACAAGGATGTAACTCAAAAATGGCATAAACGATTTGGTCATATGAATGTACACGATATGTGTAAATTAGTGTCAAAAAACATGGTTAATGGATTGGTATTGAAAGTTCCTGATAGCATAGATTGTGTCACATGTGGACTTTGTAAAATATCTGCCAAACCATTTAAAGCTTATTCTACAATTCAAACGAAAGACGTATTGGAATTGTTGCATATGGATATATGCGGACCTATGGATGTGCAGTCGATAGGTGGATCTTCGTATTTTATGACCATTATAGACGATTTTTCTCGTTTCACATTCGTATTTTGCTTGAAGAAGAAATCTGAAGCTTTTGAAGTTTTCGAACGTTTTGCTGCAACCGTAGAGAAGCAGACAGATCGTCAGATTAAGGTTGTTCGTAGTGATAACGGTAAGGAATTTATAAATATCAAATTCCAAAATTTCTTTGCAAGAAAGGGTATAGTTCATCAAACGACAGTTTGTTATACCCCTCAGCAGAATGGAGTAGCCGAGAGAGCTAATAGGACTTTAGTGGAGATGGCCAGAAGTTTACTGCATTCGTCTGGTTTACCACAAAGATTGTGGGGAGAGGCAATTAATACAGCTGCCTACATAAGAAATAGAGCTCCCACTAAGGTTCTTGGAGATGTTACTCCATACGAGAAATGGATAGGTAGAAAACCATCCGTACATCATTTTAAAATTTTTGGGTGTGATGCAATTGTCTTACAAAAAGGTCCGAAATCTAAGGGAAGAAAATTTATGCCGAAAGGAGTCAAAATGAAATTCGTTGGTTATTCCACTTCATCCAAAGGATATCGGTTATGGGATTCTAAATCAAAGCAAATTCGCGTTGCTCGAGATGTTTTATTTTACGAAGAGTCGTTTGAAAAGTTATCGGATGAATCAATCGAACCTGAAGTGTTTTGTACAGAGATTTTGAAGCTGACAAACGATCGAGAAACTAATAATACTCGTGTCGAGGCATCTGAATTGCCATCATCAAACATACAAGAGCCAATTATTCCAAATAATAAAAGAAGGAACAAATGTATTATTCCACAGACAGATAGAGTTCTTCGACCAAGGATAGTCGAAAATGTAGAAATGTTGAACTCAATAATTGAAAACCCTCAAACAATTGCGGAAGCACTGGGTTCCGAAAATTCAGATAAATGGAAAGAAGCAATGGTAAGGGAATATGAATCCTTAATGAAGAATCAAACGTGGACTCTCGTTGATCGACCCAAGGGGAAGAATATCATAGGATGCAAATGGGTGTTTTCCCTGAAACGCAAACCTGATGGTTCCGTTGAAAAGTATAAGGCTAGACTTGTGGCGCATGGATGTTCCCAGAAGTATAATGTGGATTATAAAGAAACATTTGCTCCTGTTGTTCGAC